GAGGTGGAGGGGAAGGAACAAAAGGGAGAAGGAGAAAAAAAGAAGTTTGTAGTTTTAATTAGATGGAGGGAGAAAAAAAAAAAATGGCACTGAGAAAGTTATCTCTACGCTGGAGCTGGGAGAGCACGTGGAGATGGGCAAAGATGGATATGGGGATGGGGGCAATGTGACCCTCGGAGCCTGATGGTCCCATGGGGGGAGGGGGGGACGACACTGTGCCCCACACCTGGGTGACACTGTGGGGATGTGAGCAGGTGATTGCTATTGGTGTGGCATAGTGCCTGGACTTGTGGGTTTCATTTTTTGGGGGGGGAATATTGGTGCATGATGAGGGATGGGGATCTGCAGGACCTTAAGCACAAAGCTGGCCAAAAAGCAGCGGCCTCCCAGGGCTGCAGCCTGCCGTGGGGATTCTCTGGTGTCTAAATGAGGCTGAGCTGCCTGTAGCTCTATTCACCAGGCCAACACCTAATTCAGAGCCACTCGCTGTGCCCCTCCAGGAGGGAATGGGGACTGGGAGGGGATACAGCCCTGTACACCCAATTCTCCCCGCTGGAGAGGGGCTGGAGGCTGCAGTGCTCCCCAGACCACCAGCTCCCCTCCCAAAGACAGGGCTGGGGGAATGCTGGTCATAGGATGGTCTAAGGGATGGGATGGGTGTGAAGCCCCCTCTAGGACCCAGACAGTGCCTGGTGGGCACGGACAGCAGAGCTCCCACAGAAAGTGCCCTGAAGTGACCAAAGTGCATCCGGGCAGCAATCCCCCCTCCAACACCAACCTGCCCCGTCCATCTGCAGCGCTCCCAAGTGCAGGAGTATGGATTCCAGTTATCAGCCGTCCACGTATCAGAACCCTCTGCCAACAAGGTCATTTCAAAGATAAAAAGAAAAGACTCAAACGCTCTCCTCCCCCCAGCACCTCCTGCGCATGAGGCCGAGGAAAGCCAGGATGGTCCCCGCATGGGCGCTGCAGCAGACAGGCGATGAGGTGCCCGTGTCACCCCATAGGTTAACCCACTGGAAGAGCATCCCAAGGGATGAGCACCCACAGAGCCCCGCAGACCCCCGAGACCCCATGGGGGTGCAAACAAAGGCGCCTGGAGCAGCCCACCTCCCCCCCCCGTCCCCCCCCCACCGCATCTTCGCGGCTGCTATTGCTGACATACGGCGGATCCTGCCAGATAAAAAGAAAATTCAGGCTGCTCAGAGTTTCCCTTTTTGCCAGCTCCATCCCTGATAAGTGCAGAGCCTGCAGAGCGCCTGATAGACGGGCTATCGCGGCGGTTGGTGCGAAAGGAACACCCTATCGCTGCAGCATCGCCGGACCGC